AACACTGTAGTCTCATAATTGAAGTGTAAATTCTGCAGATTACATCATTGTCCATTATTGTACTGTCAGCAATTTACTATAAAAACATAATTGTTACATAATTGTAACATACATATTTACATACATAAATATTAAGGTGCATGTGTAATAACTTGCGAAAACTTGATGCTACAGCAGCACTTCTTCTTCGTCGTCATCTTGTCTGATGCACTCAACCATGCGTCCTTACCATAGACTGTATGGTTCTAACCTCGCCCCTCCCCACCCCACAACCATTCGGATTTCTGTAGGCGGGAATTATTTTTAATGATATTCTAATGAGCCGCTTTGTGATATCACAAAGCCCGGAAAACAAACGCTGTAGTCCAAACGAGCCGTTCGTTGTAGTTCTTGAAAAGGGATTTTTAAAAAACGAAATATCTCCCTTTGGAGTGGACTTTGAGATTTGTAACTTTCTAGATCTTTTTTATGCCCAAACATACACACTACACACTGACTAAAATTAAAAAAGTGAAAAAACATAATAGGACCCCTTTATTAAATAATTCCCGGCCAAAGAATGTGCAAAAAAGGGGGCGAGGCCTGTGCTACAGACCACAGACTGTAAAAGAAGAAGAAAAAAAAAAACATACCACTCTGAAAAATCCTGTAAAATCCATGCTTACAAAGGTTCTGCATGATCCTCTTGTTCGTAAACATTCTCAGTGTAAATCAGACTTGAATTGGTATGGCAAAATTGACGCCATCATTTACAGCTCAGCAATGAAACTAGCTCTTATGGTGAGGGGCGTGACATTTCCAGAACACGCTCTGACCAGTTCGGCAATCACAACACACTGGGCCAGCTAACCAATCAGAGCACATTTCGTATTTTGGAAGGAGGGGCTTCATCTTAACAGGACATAAAATATGTGAAAAATAATGTGTTTTTGGAACAATCAAGCATGAAATCCTAGTACACCTCAAAAACTAAATCAAGCCTGTAATCTCTCAAATGCGAGAAAAAAAAAGTCAGAATTGTGAGATAAAAAGTTGCGATTACCTTTTTAAAAAAAATTTAATCAGTGGCAGAAATGGCCTTCCATAGGAGAGAGAACAATACTGCCCTGTAAAGGCAAAATGCAGTAACTATAGCAAACGACACAACAGCCAATGGAGCGGGACTATCTGTTTGTCTGAGCAATGGCAGATGAGGGGAGTGTTCAAGAAACCTGTTTGAAAACACTCATTATTTTCATGTCTTAAATATATTATATTGCTTTTTTACTTTATTGCTTTTTTCCAACAGCAGCTCTTGATTTATTCTTACACATACACACGACGCATATATGCGAGAGACCTCCTGATCTCCTGCACTCCTCTGTCATCAGTGGTCAGCTCTCTCTGCTGCTCCGTACTGACAGTGACACTCTGTGAATTTGAGTATATGGGTCACTCTGACAGAACAAATGTACCACAGAAGCATCCAGGCATTAGTATTAGTGTTTGTGTATAGAGTCTCGACAACAAATAATACCAGCAACAAATCCAGGGAAATGATTTCTTGCACAAGGTGACTCACTGCAGCACTACAGAGCGAGCCGCACGGCGGGTGTCTGAAGTGGAAATACCAAGCCACATTTCACCTACTGGATACTATATAAGGGTCAATGACACATAAGGATGTCTGAGATGATGACAATAGGAAATCTAGTTTAAAACACATGTGCCATGTTCTGAGAAATATAATTTTTATATTCTTGTTGGTTTCATACATGTCTGAAAAACATTTATAGCACTTTTTATGCAAAAAAGGGTAATGTCAAGACAAAATTGGCTAAAAGTGTTAATAATTACTAATAATTAGACTTGGCTAAAAGTGTTAATAATTGGCTAAAAGTGGTGTAACCATCAAGTAAAAAGTATTGAAGTATTTCCCTTGTACTTGAAATACACAGGAGTGTATACAACTTGTTTTTATCTATTTTATTATATGATCACTTTTAATTTAGTTATTTTATTTAATATTAAATATATATTTTTATAAATGTCATGAATTTTGAGTCATTAAAAGGTATTCATAAAGAGCAGGGTTATTATAGTTAACTAAAAATACAACCATTAAAATAAATAAACATTTTCATCACTTGCATTAAAAAAAGCTTAAATTTTTTTAAGGTAACATCTCTCATTTTAATTTAGTTTAACTAAAATAACAAAACATTGCAGTAAAAATTTATAAAATAGACATATTCAAAAAAAAAATAACTAAAAAGAAAATGGAAAATATAAAAACTAGTTTAAAATATTAATAGAAATTACAATAGCATCTCAATGATACTAAAATAACACGGATATAGAGGTCACTGACCTTGACAGAGTTATGAGAATCTAAATGGGCCCTTTTTTGTTTGATGGTTTTCTTGTCACATGACAACAAATGGCTTCCTGCATGTTGGTTTTAGCACATTGACTTTGATTAGAGTAAACATAAGTTTGACGAATATTAATAATACTTTTAAAAACTTTTACATTATAACACATAATTAAATTATATTATATTATTTTTAACATTACAATAATTATGAACAATATATTAAATGATCAAAAATTATGATCTGATATGAAAAATGACTAAAATTAAAATTATACAAAACGCATCACGTTTTGATGTATTCATTTTTTTAAGGATGTATTTTTTTTTCAGAATTTCAGACGTTTAATGAGTTACACCACTTTGGCATTGCATACTTTAAGCCCCCAAAAATGTAAAAAAAAATAAAATACTTTTAATTCAGAAATTGTAAACATGTTGACCATAGAAAAGGAATATTCAAATGATCATGTCTTTGTGTGTTCAGAGTACTCATGCATCTGTGCAATATTCGTGTCAGTGATTGCAACGCATGCAATGCCAGTCAAGCAGAGAGAGAGAGAGAGAGAGAGAGAGAGAGTCAAACTCATGCATGTTTTGCAGCTGTCTCTGTCAGATGCACATATTTATTAAGCACTGCAGGACATTTGCCCTCACCTTCCTCAACAGTTTGAGCACGTCCGTCGCATCTTCTCTCTTCCTCTCCCGAAGGAGCTTCTGAATCTCTCGGATCCAGGCGACTCGTCTGACATACGGGCTGTGGTTGGCTCTCCTCAGCATCCCCGGCAGTTTATCCGACCTGAGCATCAAGGATGTAAACAAGAAGTCTCCGCTCCGATCGCTCTCTCCCGTACTGTCGAGATGTTTCCGTCGCCTCCTTGAAAAATTATCGTTGTCGAGACTGTTTTGTCGGCTGAGCCTGGAGCCCATGATCTTACTACGTTGAAATCACAAATGTTACAGTAAATACTACTCTTTTATGGCATAATCATGGCAGCCTGGATGATAACGCCCAGAGGTTTCCACATCAGTCCCAACTTGGGTAGCACGTACTCGTTCTGCTTACAGTCAATGTCCTTTGTGAAATTCGCCCGACGACACAAGTAGTAGTTTTAGCTGCGTAAATGTCAGTGTTTTGTTCTTTATCCCAGGTCTCGCACCCTTGTATTTGTGTTTGTTGTCAGTAGGACACGTCCGCCTGATGCTCTAGTTGGTATTCAGTGGATGATGGTGATGCTCTCCACAGCACTACGTGTGGATCATTACTGAGTACTGTCCTGCCATTGGCTAACGGTGTTTCGTGTATGTGCCCCACATGCCAAAAAAGAAAAATGTGTGGTGGTGAAGTCAAAACAACATTTTAATCGAATTTTAATTAAGTTAACTGATGGTCAATTAATTTCATGAATTGATGCTGAGGATGAGGTCCTATATCAAAGAAACCATTAGGATCTTAATGCTAGACAACAGCAATTGTCAAAAAAGGTCAAATCCAGTAATCTCCTATTTCCAGAAGAGCTCAAATATTTGAACTCAAATATTTTTCATGAAATTATCAAAAAACAAATGATCTAAGCTCTCTTCTCACGTTTTTTTCCCCCAACTAAATAATAAGAAATCAACTAAATGAAGTACTTTTTTTTTTTTTTTTTGTAATCTGTGTTTTACCTCCATTTTCTAAGACAATATATAAATTGTCGTTAGTGACATTCGCTAGTGATGGGAGATCGAAACTTTTCAAAACTCTGAATGAACTGCTTCGCAAAATGATTCAATACGTGCGAAGCGTTTGAAACGCCACAGGCTGGTGGGACCTGCTAATCAAAACGGTGTAAATGCACTGAAAATAGCCCAAACAAATATAATGACACCTCTTAAAAAACAATTGCATATGTGTAAGAGTCAAAAAGTGTAGGCTAATCTATTAAATGTTATATTAAAAAATAATTAAATATCTAAATATGACGGTTCTGTAGCGTTTATTTTGTGTGTTATAGGCCAGGGCTAGGCAACCTAGTTCAATTAGAAGCAATTAAATATCATCCTTTTTGTATTACACACAAATAAGTAGCCTTTCACAATTCATTACTTTAATTCAAATGAACCTACATAATAAAACTGACACAACATCGTTCAAGGGTTTACCAAATCAGCGCCATCTAGCGGCGAAACATACGAATTTTGAAATGAAGCCTTGTTTGCTGCAATCACGTGACCTGGCGAGTTTGATACAAGCTCCGAACCACTGATTAGAAACAAAAGATTCATAAATGCTTGGAAGCTTCTTGGAAGAGTGTTTCGACAGCGCCCATCACTACTAAGATGAACACCTGCTTCCATTGGTAACGTTACGTAGCGTACGCCTCAAACCATCAGATGCTTCGCGTAGAGGAGCAGAACCAAAGCATTTCAAGTAATTACCAAAACAACGTTCCTCTGAAAGTAACTGTCAGTTTTATGATTTAAACACTAGAGGGACAAACGTTACATATGCTGCGTCCCAATGTGCCTACTTACTACGCCCCTAAAAGTACGTACTCTTTTGGTGAGAAAAAGTACACATTTTGAGTGTGTAGTAGAAGAGTGGGCAAGCTTTGGGTTGACAATTGCGTCTTTAACGGACCGCTCTGTCGCATCCTTTCACTGTAAACTGGCCTGCAGTCAGTTCATTGTCGCCTATCAATTACGTAATATCTGCGCTATCGGTTTGCTTGTAGAAACTATGGCAACACACCTGGACAAAAATGCTGCTGCAGTTAAACAAAATCCATTACTGCAGTCGCGAATAAAATGAAAATGAAATGTAAAGTGTTGACTGCAGCATTAAATTTAGATCTGCTCAATGTTGCACCATGAATCTTTTTCCGCGTTTTTACAGTGTTGCACGTTATAACCAATCACACACGAGTCTGTTGAGTTTATGAATGCATTGGCCAATCGGAGGCGTTTAGATGAGTCATCGCTGAAACACCTGAGTTTTGTGCAGTGCGGCGCGCTCGCTGAGTGTATTCTCTCATCATAAACAACAAAGTGCAGATGTACATATGATGTAAGTAGGAGCTTCATTCATCAAACAGTGTATAGACAGCTTTACTGATTATAAGGGGAGTTTTTTGAGAGTGCTTAAACTCGCACTAGACTGAAGTCAGGCATACTGTTCTTTGACAATGTAACGTTAAATGTTCTTTGCTCGCTTTCTCTATATAATTTATTCGCTGTTTG